ATACATTATATTTCACTTAAGAAAAATAAATTAATAAACAAAATACAAGTATTGTCTACTATATTAAATTTTATAAAAAGATCTTGTTCTAAGGGTGTGGCTATGCAGACGTGAGTGAACAAATTTTCCGAGTGAGCAAGTATTTGTGGAAATAAGTGGTGATGATGTTTCACACTCTCTGTATCTTACTCTCGTTTATTATGACCACACAGACAAGAACAAGAAACAGAGAACGTGAAATGTCATCACCTCTTCTCGCCACATATTTTCGCTTGCTCGTGTCTGCATAGTCGCATCCTAATTCAGGCTATAAGACACTGTGGTATGTTACATATGAACAAATGTCCTGCTCACAGCAAAAACAAACTATTACTTGAAATTTTAAAATGGCTGGCCCTGGATTCAGATAAAAATCACCTTGAAATGAATGGCCCATGCAAACTGACATTTGGCTAGAAACAATGAAACTTTTGAAACTTCAAATTTGAAAATAACTGATCACATTTTTGGCTGTAGGTTGTCGTGATTCTTTTCTGTTTTTGATTTGCATGTAGCACCATGAGTCTTTTTCAAATCCATAATGAAACAGGTGTGTGGGAAGAATGGGGCCCAACATATTTGGGATGATCTGTCGCAAATATGCACTCTGTTTCTCGTTCTCATCTGTGTGGTCATAATAAATGAGAGCAAGATACAGACAGTGGGAAATATCATCACCTCTTCTTTCCACTTATTCTTGCTCGCTTGGAAAATTCACTCACTCATGTCTGCATAGCTGCACTCTTAGAACAAGATCTTTTTTTTAAATATGTTAAACCCCATCCCCAGTTGAAAAATTTCTGGGTTTATAACTTCCTAGATTAAATCCCAAATCCCCAGAGCAATAGGCTGATGCCTTAACTGTCTTGGCCATCATATGGCCAGCAATGTATATATGGGCCATTATTTGGTATATATTCCTATGCCAAAATTTTTGCGAGTCCATAGCTGATTAGATATCAGTAATTATGACATTATTAAAAGATAACCTTTGTTATTTTAACTCATTTATATCTAATTGGAAAATATTTTAATGTAATTAATAATTTTAAAATAACTTTTAAAAATGACATAAAACTTACCTCATAAAGAAAAATGTGTCTACGGATAAAGAAAAATTTTCAATTATAGCTAATGCCAAATTTGTTTTAAATTCTTTAAAACCTTTTAGATTTTCTGTAATATATAAAATTCATTAAATAAATAGCATAAAATGTAATATAAAAAATTAAAATATTTCATAGAATAGATTCCCATTTAACCAAGACCCATTTAATTGAAACTGCTATACAGAACCTGTTGTTTAACTAAGATTATGCATTATCTGAAAAGTATTGTGGAAGATTATTTTGTCAATAATGGCAAGAGAATGTAGAATAATACAAAATTAATTTGTGACTCTTGGCTGGATATTATGCAATACTCAAAAAGGACTGTCCATTAATTATATATACAGTTTAAAAGAAAGGTGTAGCAAAAAGTTATAAAACTGGTACATTATTGTACATGAGAGGAAGGGGTTGATTTATTATCTGCATGGCCTTGCATTATTTACATGACTAATAACTTTACTTATTAGTCATGTAAATAAACTATCAGTTAGAATTTGCAAAACTTTTGAAAATCATTTCTTTAATTTCAGGATGGTTTTTGAACTATTGTACACACAATAAAAAGGGAAGGGATTTGTACAAAAGTACACCATTATACACAACAATGATGTCTAAAGTAGATCAGGATAGCTTAATTATAATCATAAGTTTATATTTGTTTTAATAAATGTAATTGTAAAAAAAATTAAGTGTTTTATTGTATAATTTAAAAGCCATTATGTTCAGTAAATAAATGTAACCTAAAAACAGTGCATTGTACATGTTAATCCATCCTTATTTATTTTATTTAATAATTTACAAAACATTCTATACTATATGAGTGTTTCTAAAAGTATTCTGGATTCACATTAACTTGGATAATAGACTACTATATATAATTTTTTAAATTAGAAATGACTGTTAATATATTATTTAATAATTTGGTACAAAATATCCAAGTTTTTTTCACACAGTTAATATATATTTCTTGCAAGTATTCTGAGTGGATGCAAATGCACAGGTACTCTTTCCTTTCAGCAAGTTTCTTTTTGTACCAGTCCATACAGAATCTTAGTAATGTTCTTTTTTATAAATACTTTAGTAATATGTAGGATTTATATGTAATATTAATTAAGGATGCACCGATAAGCAAAATGGCCAATTACCGATTACCGATTAATCGGCCATGCATTATCGGCCGATTAGTGTTAATAATTTATTGCATTAATAGTGTGAGATCCTGGAGTTAATTATACAGTTAATTATAATGTGGAAAAAACCCATTTTTCTCCACCTGGTATTTCCATCTCCCTCGGGTCAGGTAAACAAGAGACGATCGAATATCCTCGCAAAATCAACAATCTCTTCCTTTGTTTCTAAAATAAATCTCAACACTTAATTGTTGACGCATG